GAAACTTGAGGTGGGAGGCATGGGAGCAATCCGAAAAATCTCGGACCAGCCTTCCTCAAGAAAAAAAAGTCAAAAGAGACCCCATATGAAAAATAGCCCTCCGGGAGAAAATCGGAGTAGGAGGGGCCACTATGGGAGGAAAATAGGAGTAAAGAGAAAGCTCCCATGGACATGAGAAGGCCATTATTGCAGTCCGAGATATAACGGACTGCACCTTGGGCATTGGAAGGGCCAAAACTAAGAGGAAGGGGCTAGAAAAGGGCCTTAACGGCCACTTGACACTTGGCATGCTAAAAAAAAAAGAGAAAAGAAAAAAAAATGTGAGAGAATAAAACAAAAAGGGTGAGAGGGAGTGAGTGAGTTGGTCGTCAGTAAGGACGGCCACAAGTAGGGACATGCAGGTCCCTACTGTCCAAGAAAAGAGGAAAAAGAAAAATAAAGAAAAGAGAAAAAACCCTTAACGCTAAAAAACGGTCACTTGAGGGAGATTCATCTGTGACCAGATTAATTCTGGAATATGGCGGTTACAAAGAATTTGGATTTTCTTTGATTTTTGCAGAGGAAATCAAAGAAAATCAAGGCCCCATGCAACCGAAGTACAACGGATTACATGCATGAGGAGAAACACATGTTTTAGGTGCATCCGGAGCCAAAATTGAGCCCGGATGCGCTTAGAAATTTAACGCTTCATTCTCTTTTAGCATGGGGCAAGTTGTGGGGTTGTGGGACTAGAAAACTGGCCATGGCTGCAGTCCGAGAAATAACGGACTGCATGGGTATCCCTAGGCTAAGAGAAAATAAGCCACAGCAAGCCCGAAAGGCTACAAAAGAGCGAATTCGGCATGAGGCAAGTGGAGACGGTAAATGGCAACTGAGAGATGAGATCTCACGACCTAGAAAAATCAGCACACATGTAGAGATGATGGGACCACCAAGGGCAAGGGGGCCCCATAAATTAAAAATGGGACACCATCCAGAATGTTGTCGGGGACCAAGTGGGTCCAATTAATAAAAGTCGGAAAACGTTACGCGCACCGGCAGGACCGCGGGACAAGAAAATGGAACTAGTATGAAGGAAAGTGGCGGGGACTTGGGATGTCCCAAGGGAACCATGAACAAGCGCAAGGAATAATTGTGCAAGCAAATAACACCGTAGAGATCAAGGATCTAGACTGTGGGAAATATTAGCACCACTAGTGCTAACACTAGTGGTGGCAAGTGGGAGAGTCATAAGGAGAAAGAAAAGTAAAATAATGATGTAGGGAGGGCTGCCCAGTAGTCCGAAGTATCCCGGACTCGCAAGGCATGAGAAAATCGAGCCTTGAGAGGCTCAACATGAGTCTCATGTTGGTTACTTGTGATTTAAGCTACTCAAACTATTCTTTTTCACTCGCATACTAGTAGGTAGTGCTCCGATTCTTCTATGGATGATGTTATGTTGGTTACTTGTGATTTGGGCTACTCAAACTCTTGTTTTTCACTCATATACTAGTAGGTAGTGCTCTGATTCTTCTATGGATGATCTCATGTTGGTTACTTGTGATTTGGGTTACTCAAACTCTTGTTCTTCACTCACATGTTAGTAGGAGATCCTCCGATTCTTCCATGGATGCTCTCTTGCTCAAATCTTGTGAGATAGCCTAGTGCAACTCCTGTTTTTCATTCACACACTAGTAGGTAGTGCTCCGATTCTTCTATGGATGATGTCATGTTGGTTACTTGTGATTTGGGCTACTCGAACTCTTGTTTTTCACTCATATACTA